ATATATATTATGTATATGAATAAAATATTTGTATAAGCAGTGCAAGGAAAGCCTGTGAATGATGATGATTGCAATTGAACACATTTGTTATTTTCTTGAAACATTTTGATTGTGTATGAAGCGTACGGGTTCGATCCTCCTTGTTAGAGTCCGATTAGGATGAACGTGACTCACAATGTGACACCTGTGAGAAGGACAGTGTTACTGATTAAAGTAGACTTCTCCACGGAAGATTCGAACCCTCATCTTTTACGTGCAAGGTTGAAAGCTTAAATCCAACACCACAGATACTGGCGGTGAAGAGTGAGGAAAGAAAAAAAAGGTGTTCTGTAAATATTACGGGATATTTTTCCCTCTGCGAATATTTGTTGAGCAATATGCATGTGTACTCCCATCTCACACCCCATAGGCACTAGTCACATTTAATTTTAAAAAAGGTATGCTCCAACACTATTACTGGCCTCTGCAATAAAGGACTTCTTAAGCTTAGACAAACCTAACTTTCCCAAGGACACATCTCAGTGATCACTATAGTCGCCCACAACCGTTCCCTTTGGTCGATGTTGCTGGGTGACGTTTCCAGTGACCAGCTTCTGGAGGCCTCTTTACTTCTCAGGCCCGTCTATTAGCCAGAAATATCGACATTTACAATCCCAGACTATAAAATCAGTACCCCCTCTCCGTCTCTCCTCAACAGGACATAGCGACAAGGAAAATCAACTCGTAACGTCCAAGGCGGATCTAGACGAAGGCACTCAGGGAATAGCAGGCGTCTCGACTTTGTGCTATTGAGTAAGTCTACTTTACATGCTCATTACTTTTTCTCCTAGAACTGATGTCTTTTTATTTTTACTTCCCAAGTTTGTTTTTGCTTGTTGTGCTACATAATTAATTTCATACCGTCAGAATGGTGTTATTCTTGAGAGTTCAATCTTTCTATCTCTTGCTCAAAAAGACTTCACGAAAAGCAGTAGGAAACAAAATGAAGCCAAAACTTACACCCTCCCCTACCCTCCTTGTTCCCACCCCTCAGCCATTCCATTCTCACCCCTTATTCTTCCCATTCCCTCATCCCTCCTCCCTCTTATTTCCAAACTCTCATCCCTCCCATTCTCTCTCCCATTCTCCCTCCCATTCTCAAACCCTCATCCCTCCCGCCCCTCAACATTCCCAACCCGTTTCTATTCCCAACCCCTTCCCCCCATCCCTGTTCCCGACCCCTCGACATAGTTACAGGAACGAAAGTTTCATAAGATTTAAAATGAAACTGAAAATAAAGTATGTTCATTTTAATGGATTTTGTTCATTTACATATACCATGCTTAATCACTAGAGTTTAATCCGAATGGACTAGTTTTTGCCACATAACCCTAAGCATTTGTTGATAGAAGACAATCTAAGCAATACTATATTAGCATCTGGTTAGCCTTTCACTAATTGGCCTAATTTTTGCTCATTTAGATGGGGGGGGGGGGGTTTAATCACCAAAGGTAGGTTATTACTTTTCTGGAATCAGGAAAGTTCGAGTGCCGGGTCAATTGTGTGTTTGGTTGAGAGTGGACACTGATGATACCAAAATCAAAACCCATTTAATAGAAAAACAGACTACAGTGAATTTGAATGCCTTAAAACTGAGGTTCATGAAACGCAAGAATAATTCTTTCAGAGAGGTTACGGTGTTTGCCTCTCATTCAATAGGTCCTGGGTTCAAAACCTGGCAGCGACGGAAAACTTTCTTCTCTAAAATTTTCTCCTTTCACTCCCTTTCCTGCTCTCTAACAAGGCTTGTCGTCTGCTTTCGTCTCCACTTTCTGCCCCAACCCCCGCCCCCTTTCTGGGCTCCTGACTCTTTCTGCAGCCATTATACCGATACTACTTGGCTCCTTCTTACTGCTGTCTTTCAGCCACACCCTTGATCAAAGGGTATGAAAGATCTAACACCTAGTCTTCTCGGATAAGGACGAAAAATATCGTAGGTCCCGTGTACATGTTGGGCACGTTAAAGATCTCTTGGTCGCCCAAAATCGATAAAAATAGGCTTCTGCCTCCACCCGGGCAAAATTCAAAATTAATTCCTACCAAAATGAACATGTTTAATGTGTCCCTCGCTCTCATATGATCTTATTATGTAGTTGGGAGCGCCGTAAAACGCTTACCCCCCCAAAAAATACAAAGGCCTGCTCCATTACTCAATTCTCAGGCCCGGCAGCGAAGGAATTAATTAAACGGGATTGATGTTGGTATGTAAATGCTTCTGTCTAACTACTATTCAAGTTCCAATAATGAGTGTACTTCCAATGCTTCAAGAACCAGTTATATTCCTGAATCAGTCAATCTAAATGAGAATCAGGCACCCGAGTAGTCCTGTCGGTATCAAGCTGGACTAACGAGGCAAGCATCTGTGGTTAAAATTCCTAACTCAAGTTTCTACAACATGGATTGAGTGTGTAGGTATCACGATTTCCCATTAATCTGGTTTCATCTTTTTGAGGTTCAGGAGGGGGTTTTGGGGGCTTCAATTAGAAACCTGCCTCTTAAATAACATCTACACTGAATCTACAGAATGTGAAAAAGGGAGATTAAGTCTTAAACACCACTGTTTTCACTGAAAGCAGTCTTGGCATTATTATGCCAAGTTCCAAAAAACAGTTCTGTGATCCGATGCCTATTTCAACAGGTCTGTCCATTCAAACAGATAAATCACTGAACACCCTGTACAAGAAAATTGGCATGGTGTGGCTTGAGTTGAGCTTCACCCGCTGCGCGCGCTTGGCTTCCCCATGTAGCGACGTTAGATAACTCTGGCAGCTGCCGCCTGCTCAACACCGCCGTTTTCCTATTTTGCCACCCATTACTGTTAATGAGTTCGGTTCAAGCTTTTTGCCTGCATTCGACCACAGGCTTTGAGATGTTTTAGCTTATCGAATGACACGCGTGATCAACCATGCACGTACGGACATCAGTGGGGCCCGCTTGAAGCAGTCTGCTGCTCATGAGTCTCGGGAACGGGCGGTAACTCCGGAAGCGGAAGGATAATTCATGGCTGTTTGGGCCTGCAGTGGCATGCTGTACTATTGATTGCTATATAACAGCTTGTCTTTGGCGATGGTCAATGAAATGATGCAGGAACGCTTTGCTGACAATTCGTGTAGAAATCAGTGGGCAGTTTTCGGGTATGTATGAAGATTCTCGGCTTCAACTTTTGATTTACAAAAACAGAATGATTATTATTGTGGCTAAGAGACCGTTAGAACTGCACTTTAAGGTGGGTTTATCGAAGGAGATTTTCAGAACAACAGACTCATGTGATTGAAACTTGTTGGAGTCCTTCTTATCTCATTTTCGCTGCTCTGTACGGTCAATAATAAAGTTAGAACGAATTCTGGCTTGCTGGGGACATTTTTCAGGAAACATCCCAGAAAGGAAATCGTAGCAAACAAATAGGGACGCGAGCTATCTCGTAATGTGCAATCTTTGGTAATGTATATATATACAATGACGTGGTACGGCTGCGACAAAGAACTAAAAGATAGAACATAACTATGGTGGCGACCCTGATGTGTACTTCCAATATCGTCATGGAACTAGAAACGATGAAAACTATTTAGGTTCAAACAACATACAGATAACGTATTTTAAACAAAACTTTTCTATTTTGAATCTGTGTTCACGAGAACAAAATTACTGACACTACAAGCCAATGTTTGCTTGTACAGATATCGTGTTACCTTGTGGGTTCAAATTGCTGAGAAAGTGGAGGGCGTACAAAATAAAACACCGCTTCGGAAATAAGGGCACGGAATAACTTTCTTGGACTCAGTGATGTCTAAAGTATGAATGATGAAGCAGACCATAGATCGAATGGTTTCTCTTTTCAGGGAATGGCAAACAGATCAAAGGTTCTGATAATGGAGTGAGGGAGGAGGGAAAAGGGACTCGGGTAAAAAAGGGACTTGTTTGCTTAGAAAATGTGATGGGAAGGAACAGGAATGAAAATCGGAGCACTGCCAACCATGAAATAGCAATCTGGACTCCATGTAATAGAATTCGTGCCGCGCCCACTAACGATTTCCTAGAACTTTCTGTTGTGGGGGTAGCGCGAAAGGTACACAGTCCAGCCCTCCCCCTACACCCCCCCCCCAAACCACACACACAAAGCCCCAGTTTCCTTTTCAAAGCTACCCCTATGGAGTAAAAGCCATCTCGACGGGATGTGTCCGTAATTTTTCCCTCTACGTTAGGAAAAGACGCAAGTGTGTGTGTGTGTGTGTGTGTGTGTGTGTGTGTGTGTGTGTGTGTGTGTGTGTGTGTGTGTGTGTGTGTG